CATAGTTACCACAACACCGGATAAATAATATCTACACTCACATATCGTACATATATACATACATACATATATACATATATGTATGAGTATGCAACACCAATACATGCGCAAACAAAAATAGCACACGAATACGCGTAGGGAAAAAAGTGGAAACCCCTGAAGTTAAACTAAACTGTAATGCGCATAAAATCTGTATCACATCACTCAACAAATCCAACAACAATAACAACAACGAACACGCACATAAGAGCACACACACATTGGAGGTGCATTCAAATCCATATATATTATATATATATATGGATTGTATGTGCATGCGTGGTGGGTATAGACCGTTAGACTGTGCAGTGTTGCAAATTGCTATGAAGTCCGCCGCCGAACCTGCGCTGAAGCAGAAGGGAATAGAGGAAGGATAACGTTGGAAATAGGCTGAGCTAGCCACCTGCCAAGTTTGCTGGGCAAAAAAAACAACAGAGAAACAGTAAGGCGAAACTATCTTCAGTTGGAAACCAATATTAGGCCTCGCCCCTTTGGCCTTTGGGGAGAGATCAAGTTAACAAGTCCAAAATCAGGCAGGTCCTCTAAAGCTCGTTATTGACTCGATCTTCTGGATTCTCATTGTCTACTCCCGGGCAGCATCAGCAAGAAAATATAATGCAGAAGTTTGGCAGTTTATTTAAACAAGGAAGGGAAGACCCGAGACAAATCCGGGAGCATCACGCCAGAACTTATCCTACAAGTGGAAAAACTTGTCCTCACCGATGTGCGACTGAAGAAGAGTACAACCATTTTTATAATCCTGCACGGTCATCTTGGCATGATTAAAGGCAGGTAAGTTGGGTTACAAGAATTCTCACATCTCCGTAAAAACTGCAGCGCGTAGAGCGTGCACGTACATTTTTAGACCTCTATAATGAAGAGAAGGATGAAGGTGCATTGAGTCGGATTATTACTGTAGACGCACCTGTGGCGAAACAAGTTCCCATGCAGTGGCATGAAATGGGCAAAGCATCTCCCAAGAAGTTAAAGGTGACACAGTCAGCTGGGAAACTCATGATAACGGTCTTTTGAGATTCGAATGAAATATTATTTATCGCTTATAAAAATAACGGATAATACTACTATAACAAATATCGTGTGCAGAATTTTAGACGCTTTTAATCATCTCGAAAACTCTTCAAGATGAAGATAAAAGCTGAAAGTTTCCTGGTGACATGAAAACCGATTCACGAGCAACCTCATTAAAAAGAGAGATAGTAAAATACAAATCAGGGACTTCTTAGAGATCAATGGCAGGTGTACTAAATAGAAAAGTCAGGTCTGGTAGCAGTAATCTTAACCTGTACAACAACGTCATAACCGATGACGACAGAACCACAGAAAGCACTTCGGTTGATCGTCCAATTCTAAAGCCTTGAAGATCTTAAATGTACTTAAGAGAGTAGATTGTATTCAAATTGGTAAATATTTTCGGAAAGGTGTGACAAAAGAATTTGCGCTTTAAAATTCTTAAAAAGAAAACACCTAAGCTAATCAAGTGGATTGAAGTGGACTTAAGCTGACTAGCAGAGAAAAGTATTCAATGGTATTTTGGAAGAGGAAATAATAGTGCGTATCGGCCATGTACACATCAACGAGCGGGATGCTCATCTCGTTATGAACAACCCTTGAATGAACAAAATTACTATACCCCATACGTTTAAAAGGAAGTTGGCGTCCAGTGAGACCCTCTGAATGAGTATACGTAGTGGTGGCTTGTTGACAAAGCCTGTTGTGAAGCATATCCCAGCAATGGACCCAACTCACCACTAAAACAAACAATCACAAAGAGTTATGCAAAGAGTTAAGATTATGAGAAGAGGTGTGTTGTCTGGCAAGGAGATGGAGTAGTTGCATAAATTGCGGCAGGTTTTCTGAGCGCTAAATGTAGTGCTTCGCTACTTGTTGTTGTTGTAGTTGTTGGCACTTTTGTGCACCGCACGATGAGTCCTGCAATCAACGAAGCAATCACATGCATACCTACACACACACACTGTCACAGTCACACTCAGCCCCACAACATCCGTCTGCGGGCACTTCACTTTTGCAGTTCGTTTTCATGTTTTTTTCTCTTCCACTTGCTTTTATTTATTTATTCATTTACATATATGTAACTCTCTCAGTTTTTGAATTTTTTGCACGGCAACCAAAAATGAAATTCATATGAAAAAATCTCAATTTTTGCATAAACAGAGAAAACTGCTTTGCGCAAGATTTTAATATTGCAACAATAACAACAACAACGAAACATACAGACAACAACATCAAGTAAATATACGTAAAGCAAGTGTAATCTGCAGTCCGTCGGGGTTGAGCGTTGGGGAAGATGTGGCATCTGACGACGGACGGCTGATTTTCCATTACAACCCTACACGCCATCACGCAGTCAAGTCAAACAACTCAATGTGGCGAGCCACAGCCACAGCCACATCCTCACGAAATCGGCATTTCGGAGAGTGAGTGTATGTAAACAAAAGCCAAGCGGCATTTTTTCCTTTTTATTTGTTTTCATCCTCTGTTGTATTCTCTTTCTGTTCGCCTACTTGGCACCGTAATACTGCTGACATTGCGTTTTTCCTCCACTTCTCTGGAATTAGGGTTGCATTTGTCGCTTTTGGCGTTGATAACGATATCACAACGCTCGCATTTTAACGCGGACAACGGTAATGTTCACGTATTTGGCAAATGTGTCAATAATATTGATTGTGATGAGTAGGCGCTCGCGTATAAGAGCAGAAAACACATACTTTGTGCGCTTTGCGGGGCTCACTGCTGTACGAGGTGTGTTCAAAAAATATCGCGAATTTTTTTTTTTTTTTTTTCAAAAATTATTTATTTATTCATGAATATCTATTTTGTCCCCTTCAAAGTAATCCCCATGAGATATTATACACTTGTGCCAACAGTATTTCCAATCTTCGAAGCACTTCAAAAAATCATTTTTTCTTATCTTGTTCAGCTCCTCCTTCGATACCGTCTTTATCTCGACAATCGTACCGTAAGGTCGTCCTTTCATGGGCCTCTTCAGTTTAGGGAACAAGAAAAAGTCACAGGGGCCAGATCTGAGGAATACGGTGGCTGCGGCATCATTAGTGTGTTGTTTTTGGCCAAAAAGTCGCGCACAAGCAACGGTGTGTGAGCAGGGGCATTATCGTGGTGCAAAAGCCAATTTTTGTTCTTCCACAAATCGGGGCGTTTCTGGCGGATTGCTTCGCGCAAATTGCGCATAACTTGCAGGTAATATTCCTTATTGACCATTCTTCCCTGTGACAGGAACTCATGATGCACAACGCCCCTGCAATTAATTTTTTCGTCTGTTTTTGAAGTGCTCGGGCGTCCGACATGCTCTTCGTCGTTCATATCTTCTCGGCCTTCTGAGAACATTTTTTACCACCGATAAGATGTTGAATCACACGGTCACAGAAACTTTTATTTTTAAAGATCGATGGTTTTATTGCTTGAGTAGCACATAGTGCGCCGTCTTGTTGTAAAAAAACGTTGTCCGCCGGACTGTAAACCGCACCAAAAAAGTTGTACGTTAAAGATGAAGAGGCTTAGCAATAATAAATCTTAGGTTTTCCAAGACCCAGATGGAAAAGTTTTGCTTATTGACGTAGCCATTGAGGTGGAAATGAGCCTCATCAGTCACGATCAGTCGAAAAATCTTTCGATGAAGTTCCGTAACGTTTTCATGCATTTCAAGGACCCAATCGGTGGTTTACGGTCGGCCGGTCTCTAGTGTGGAATTTGAGTCAGCACGATAAAATATTTCAAGTTATGAACCTTTAACTTTAATAATGTGTAGGTCCGCAAATACGGTAACCATAAAAATAATAAACTGAAAAACTTACCTGGTAATATTTTATGCTGAGCTTATAATGTCATATAAAGCTTTGCACGTGTCGTGCTATATTATAGACGAAGTTGTAACCCTCGTTATGTGGTCTAAATCCCAATACGAAAGAGAGCATGGAATGCACCGTCGGAAGTAGGTATTTTCGGCACAACGGTCTATGACGAAGCATCTCCAAATGGGTTAAGGCTGATCCATATTCCGGTGTGAGAGTATTTATCATAGTGCATAGCTGTCTTCAGATCGAAGAACTCGTTACCAATTCGACGATATTGTGTTAGATAAACGATATTTCTCTACTGCTCTAGATGTGCGTTTACTTGGGAGTCCAATAATCGACTCCGGATACTCGCCTCTGTGCTATTAAAACGCCCTGCTTGCACTTCTGCTCGCTGAGAGCACGCATCAAAAACGTTATAAGCTCAATAAGAAGAGTTGGTGCTACGAGGATTGCCGTACCGGAGTGGAGAGACAGACGACTTCCTAGCCAGCAACGTAACGATCGACTGCAATGTGCTCTGTGTGCAGCAGAGATAACAAGAGTTGAAAGAGAGAGGTAAAATTATGGGGGAAACAGCTGAATGCTGTAAAAATTAATGCGATTATGCCGCAACTTAGAGAAACATCCAAGACCGGGACAGAAAGATAGAGAGATGCAAAACTTTGTGAATTTGAAAAGCTGTGGCAGATGATATATTACTTGAGTATGTAGAGTTGGAGCAGTTGGCCGACATGGGTAATGCTTGAAAATTCTATAAACAAATGGGGCGAATTACAGAATATTTCATGGCCGGAGCATACTCATGTAGAGCCCAAAGGGCTGATCTGGTCTAATGGGACCTTATTAATTTGCGAAAATTGCAATTGACGCCAAAGAGTAAAGAGAGGAACGAGTGGCTACTGTTGTTTACTAATGATGGACAGGCGATACTGTTGTGCCAACCACAATTTGTACTTTTTTTTCAAATCTCTAATGGGAAATTTGGAAAAAAAATTTTATTACTAAAATATATGTTTAAAAAAATAGTTATTATTTACATATATATTTTTATGAAATTAAATGGAATGATATTCTAACGTAAATTTCTCTTTTCCCTTCTCTTTTCAGCGTTGTCCTTTAGAAATAATCCATTAACAAAGTCATCATAGACACCAACGACTAAAGGAAATACTAAAAATACATTCATACATTCTCGTACATCTGTATTTCTGTCTCTGCATCCTTGGCGAGCAACAGACGTTGATTATAATGATTGCTTCCGTTCGCTGCTGCAAACGCTCTTGGCAACCGATTTCTCTTCCACTCTCCAACATTGAGTTTCTTAATTTTCGAAATTAATTCTCAACACTTGAACAATTAAATGGAAATAAGGATTACTATATACTTGTATAATAAAAAAAAAGCGTGAATTGAAATATAAGAATATTTTTTTGAATACTGAAAAGTAATCATTTTTACCAACCCACCTTATGGATCTCGTGCAAACAATTATAAATGCACATTTACATATAGATATGTTTATATGTTAAAAAAAAAAAAGAAAACAACTTTTGGAGCAATAAATTAATATTTTCATTTGGCGGGCAGATAGAGCGAATTAACGACTTGAGGTGAGTTGAAATGAATTTTTTTACATAATAAAATTTCTTTGATTAAGAATCGATTGACTTCTTATTGCTCAAAATATTGTTACACACAAACTGGAGAGTACATATATTTCAATTTGGTTTAATTTCTCAATATCATCCTATATCCATGAGCTCATTTTACCCCTGAATTTTTTCTAAACACGTTTTTAAGTCAATCTAAAGTTTGATATTGTAGTGTGAATATTTCAACATTTCGCTGGTCTTTCCAACAGAGTGAAAATCTACCTCATCCTCAGTTTCCACCGCTTAAGCGATTTTCGGCCTATCTCCTCGTCTAATTTGTGGTTTTGTGTCTTGATAGAAAATTCAACTTAATTTTTTCTCTAAATGAATTTTCTTTAACTTTTGGATGTTAGTCGCACGGTGATTGGAACTCGAACCTTCCGAATGGCAGCACGCAATGCAAACCGCTCGGCTATCGCGGTCGCCACCGGCATGTGCTGCATCGAAAACTTTTCAAACTGAAGTATACTTTTCCATCCAGATCCCTAAACCTAGCCAACGTAGCCGCTGTCTCCTGAATCAATGTCGCCGTATATTTTGTGCCATTTCTTGTCGTATTCACTGTTCAAAACGTACAAAGCACCAATCTTCCACTCGAAAATTCATAACGCCAACTTTTCATTTGTTTTCATCCTCCATGCTTCCGCCCAATATATCAGGACGTTACCAATAAGCGACTGGTAGAGTTTAGTTTTCGTTCGCCGAGAGAGGACTTTACTTTTCAATTGGCTGCTCATTCCAAAGTAGCACCCGCCCTCTTTCACTACCAGACCCATACCCTTCGCTTCCTTATCCAGTCTGGGCCTTATATGCGAAGTTTAGGAAGGCTTATCCCACACATGTGTAGTGGTCTATTGCAAGGTTGCGAGGTAAGCAGCCTGTTTTTCTACTGTGGCATGGCAGTCCTAATCGTGTCAGCTATTTTGAGACCCTTTAGAAACTGATTGTTTGCTGTTCTTTGATACATAGAGGCGGGTGCGTATCTTCGCTGCAACAAAATATTGGTCCAAGTCGATTTTGAGTCCTCGAAACTTACGCACGTCAAGAACGCTGGAGGCATGTCGTCGTGCACCATATTCAGGCCCTGGCAAAGTTAACTAGCCTCAGCCCGGGTAGCGCTCATGAGTACGCTCCTGGCACTCATAAAAGGCATTACACAGACATAGTCCTTCTCTTTCGTCGGCGCAAATTAGCGGATTGTGGCGTGACGTTCATTCATCCGGGTGAACGCCAGTGCTCGACAAGGAAGGAGTCCGAATACAAATTCGAGCTCCTTTATATGGCCGCTGGAGTATTTGACACAAGGATTTACTCTTTTCCATTCTTGTCCCGTCAAAGGAGGATGAAATATTTGTGAATTCGCCTACATGATATCGTTTTCTGAGATTTGACAGCGCGACTTCCGATCATCGAGATAGTTCGGTTGAAGCACTTCGGTTGTTGTTTTCGTCGCCGTTAGCTAACCCCGTTTACGAGCAGTGTATAACGTCCAAATCTTCTAGGTCACGAAACGAACTGTTTCAACGGGTAAAGACCAGAGGGAGAGAGGGTTAGATGCGTTGGTTTTGTGGAGCATGTAAAGAGGTGGTTAGTATCGTAAAGGAACTCGTTGCTTGAAGGATACATGTTGGGTATGTCAGGGTCAAGTCTGGATAACTAGGAATTTAGGCTATTACAATATCCAGATCTAAGTTGCGCCCGCATTAAGCGGGACTCTCAAGGCAGTTCGAGCTCTGCAACGGGCTGGTTGATGGTTTAACGCCGACAACGCCATTCACTAGAAAAGAGTTGAAAAAGGTGTTAACGGACTCTTGGTGAATGACCTCTACTCGTCAAGACGTCGACGGCCGACCGGCTCTTGTACGTGGTGCTGATGCTCGTGCTGGGCCTAGCTTGGGGTGTTCACTGTAGATTAACTTGTAGCATAGATGTTTCGCTGTGCAAGTGATGATCGATCCTCTGCTATCCTGTCACGGTTCTAACGGCGTGACTCGCCACAGCCGGTTCTATGCACCGAAGTTGACCGTATTTTATTCGGCTGTCACCCTTTCGGCGACCTAATCCCGTTTAGATCAGCAGGTACCGAAACACTTCTCAAACTCGAAGCTTGAGATAGGATCTCTGCTCTTTTTTCAACGATGCGCTTTTAATGTTTTCTACAACTACGAAACGATGGTCGTTTGAGGTTTTCTCACGTATTCTTGGAGTATTTCAGTCAGCTTTGATAGTTGCTAGCAAACTCGATGTGGATTCATTTATCATTTATAAATGTCATATTCATGTCTACCATATATTTACCTTATTTACTTCTTAACTTACATACAAACAACAAGCTGTGGCAGTATTCACACATTTGCAATTGCTTATCATTTAAAATTCCTGGAGGTGCAAGCGAATTACTCACGCGATATCCGTTGTATGCCACTCAATTACTGGTTAGCTGACTAAATGCTGTTGTTGTTGTCGGGCTACAAAAGTTCAATATACTTTTGAGCAACAGTTGGTGATTTAAGACTTTACATAAACCAGCTGATAGCGCACACTCAGGCATACTTATGAATGGATAATTCTGAAAATACAAAAATTCTTAAGTAATTAATTATTTTACTATTCTCTTGTAGATATTCCACGTGTCTTTGTGCTCATTGTTGTTCAATGTTTTTCTATTGTATGCATACCTACTCGAAAATCATCAACTGCAATAAATTATAACTAAGCTATTGACTTATGCATACACATATGTATATATATATATAAGTATATACAAATGAATTTACGGTACTTGCTCGTACCTATCACACTTCAAATGTAAATTTCTTATGCAAATAACTCACACTTATTGCATGTTACATACCTAACGTATATATATATAATTGCATAGTATTGTGTACGTGTGTGTACAATTATTAACCTTGCAGGGAAATTGTTTAATTCCAAATTGTATTCATATGTGAGTCAGAGAACACCTTGTGCTGGCTCTATAAATAGTTAAGTACTTTGTATTAATTATAGTTTGGTTTATAAATTTCTTCTACAACTGTTCATTTTCCATGATGGCTTTTACGAGAATTATACAAAAGGAATGTCCCATGGAAAACGAGACGATGGAAATACCTGATTTTTTTTCTGTATACTTTTTAAGGGTTTTAAAGAGAAACACAAACAAGAACTGTCACACAAAACGAAAACGAGTTTTAAAAAGACGGCCGCGGTAGCTCGGGTTCAAATCTCCGTGCGATCAACATCCAAAAGTTATAGAAAATTAATTTAAATATAAATTTTCTAATTGCGGTCGCCCCTCGGCAGCCAATGTCCACCCCTCCGAGTGTATTTCGGACATGAAATAAAGGCTCCTCATTAAAAAACCATCAGCCGTTCGAAGGCGGCTTAGTAAAAACTATAGTTCCCTCCATTTGTTGGAAAAACATCCAGACGCAAGACCACAAATTGGAGTAAGTGCTCGGCCGAAAGTGGCATCAGCGGTTACAAAGCGCCAATTATATATATAAAAAGTAATGATATATTTTTCTAATTTATTCCTCTCTCTGCCAAATGACAGACGGTTGAACCCACAGATCAGACCAGTGATCCTAAAGATCTGAAACATGTGGGGTGTGTTATAAACCTAGACAAGTGGACCTGGGACCGATCTATTCGCTAATAATTTTGGTTAGGTTTGCTTGATATTTGAAAAATAAGTACATAGCTTTTTGCTGAGAATGTTTTATGGCCCGAGCAGACTCGTGTAGAACACAAAGAGGTGATCTAGCCACTGACGAACAGAATATATTGAATTTATGAAGGGAACACTTCTCCAGCCTGCTGAATAGCAGTGAAAAAGGAGTATCCGGAAGTAGTGAACCCCAAGCCCCAATCGATGATGATGGAAAAAAAATGTTCCATTATCTGACCATGAAGAAGTTCGAATAATAATCGCCCGTTTTAAAAACAACAAAGCGGCTAGAGCTGATGGCGATTGGAATTTCGGTGTGCTCTGCCCAATCCATAAAAAGGGTACCCCACAGACTACGCCAATTATCGTGGGATAAGCTTCCTTAATATCGCTTAAAAGATCCTGTCGAGCTTATCGTGTGAAATACTAAGCTTGACAAAAAAAAGCTGAAGCGAATCGGTCTGGTAGTGAGAGAGCAAGAGGAAATATCCCCTCTTATTAAACAAAAAGTCGGCCCACTTACGGCTTCGCTCCCACCAAGAAAAGGTATCCCGAAATTAGCGCAAGATTGGTATTAAATAGGAAAAACAGTTTTTAGTCTTTCGATTGTATTTTTTTTTTATTGAATCGCAAATAATAAACACATACGCATTGGTTTGTCGGAAATTTCCATGACTATTCTGCATTAATGTGGCTGAATTTCATGAAGTAAGCGATATCGAGCACCAGTAATAGTCACTGCTTACTCAAGCTTATTTTCAAAAAAAAAAAAAAAAAAGGTATGATCCTATTATGCCTTTATCCCAAAATCTCTACCAAACAGTGACACCTTGTGGATGCATTTCTTCTTCAACAGACACATTTTGGTTCTGAGAAACTCAACAACGGCAATTTTGACAATTAACAAGCTCAATAATTTATTCAACTAACTCTCTCTCAGCTTATAGGATGCCTAGGCTATACGAAGATTTCACTCAAGAAGTTTCAGATCCCTACGATCACGCGTTTGAATTACTAAAACGAGACGTTCGTTAGTGATCCGAAAAAACATGAAAAACTCATTCATCTAAATGATTTTATGAACCAGAGATAGAGACTCCCGGAAGGGAAATTGTTTAAAATCAAAACTATAAATATTTCTTATAACAAAATTCCGACTTTGCTTCCAATGTTTTACATCATCATCTTCGTCGGACTTACCATATACAATGCTCATGTACATACATACATATATCCTTATTGAATATTTTATCGCGTTTCTAGTAATTTGTTAATTATTTTCCTA